CACCAGTGGTCCGTCGATATAATGTAGCGCTGTTTGAATCGGTTGTCGTTTATGTAATTGAAATGATCGATGAGTTGCGAGTAGTAGTCAACGGAAAAATTAGCCGGAATTGGGGTATCATTTGATTGAACAGTTGTACGTTTGAACAAATGTCTGGACACAGAATATTCAGTGAACAATATTAGTATAATAAATGAAATTAAGTATTTCATTGTTTTGGTTTTTCACTATTAATATTTATAATGAAATATTAGGCACTATTAATTTTGTTGCTAATATCTGTTGAATTATTTGAAAAATATAATTGAACTTAAATATTTATATGAAATGATATTTACTAGTATAATTTATAAATAATGTAATCTGTAAATAAATAGATAACTTTTTATCAACAAATGTCATTGAAATGGTTTTAAAGCAATTCATATATTAAAATGCTTAATTCAATGTACTGTAATGTAAAGTTACTGTAACCAATTAAGGTAATTATTTTAGGTACTGTGCGTTTAATCTGATCTAGTACAGCTGGTTAATCTATTCATTGGATTATAATTATCTGAAGTGAAAATGTGGTATTTCAAAATTAACCTTAAATATAATTTAATATTTAGTCAATAATTTTTGTAAAAACATATGTATTATAATGAAATAATCAAATTAAATAGACCTTTACTAAATTCAATGAATTATTCATTTATTTGATAGGCATTCAGATTTATGTAAATTTTTAATATAATTTTATTAATCAATTTTCCTGGTTAACTAAAGGTTTGTTCAAAAAATAAGTTAAACAAAATTAAATCATATTATCGTTATAGATAATTATAATTCTTAAATCAACCTGTTACATTCAATTTCAAAAGGTAGTGACAATAAGCATCAAAAAATGTTGGACTTATATTTAACATAAAGAAATATTTTTGTTATAATTTAATATATTTTAATAGTGTTATATATATTTAACTATTTGTATTTTCAAATTCGTGGTTTATACTTAACAAAGTGTTTATATTTAAAAAATATTTTACCTGTGATATTTGTAAATATTATAACTTATAATTATAAATTAATTTATAATAAAATAAATCTAATGAATTTCACTACTTATGAACTAATCTTATCAATAATGATATATATAATTATCATTGTTATAATTCTTATGACTAGAGAATAGGTTGACTACTGCGACCGTAAGAAATAATTAAATGTCATTAGTCATTTTCATAAGAATAGTATTATATATCAGTTATGCAATTATATTATGTTACTAATATGAACTAAGACAATAAAATACAGTATATCAATATATTTCACAATTAGCATTCATTTTTATGTCAAATGTGTACGAGTGTATTTAATAAATTACAATTATATAATGATATAAATAATATGAATTAATTTTAAAATCACAGCATTATGACTGCACCCAATTTAAATGTAAATATTGAGTATCGTGATAATTATTATGTGAAAACATTTGGACGTGAACATCTAATAGCAGAAGGTACCAAAGGTGTGGTGTATAAAGTTTTTAACAAAATAGACAACAATGTCGTGTCAGCCATCAAAACATTGAGTCAGTCGCTGTGAAAGGCATTTAAATAAGTTTTTATTTTTACAATTAATTTCAATTCATAATTATAGAAACCGATGCTGGACTATATGAGTCGCTAGTACTACAGTTATTACATAGAGATCCCGGTGCGGGACAGTATGTGGTGCAGCACATGGACTCATGGTTTGAAAATAAGGAGAAAAAGGACCTGTTTTACATACAAATGGAATACTGTTTAATGGATTTGACAACATTTCTCAGCAAAAGGTATAAGATATTCCGTGCCGGACAGGACTGGCAGCCAATGCCGGAACTGGAGTTTTTTGTATGCTGTCAACTCTATTTGAGACTGGTCAATTGTCTCAAATATATCCACAGCAACAGCAATGTTGTACCGGTTATTCACAGTGACCTACACTTTGGGAATGTTTTGTTGGCTAAGTTTAAGGATAAACTTGCGGTAAAGTTAGCCGACTTTGATTTGTCCATTACTATTAATCGCGAGAATAACAACAAGGACAAATATTGTCACTACGATATCATGAATTTGAGTTTCGGGTTGACCGAGTTGTTTGATTTCAATAATCGCAAGTATGTTAAATATTAATGAATTAAATATAATATATGCTGCAATTAATTATTGTTTATATTTTATTATTAAAGTCCACAGAATTACCAAATTGTGGGGAACCAGAGGAAAGCAGATATAAAGGCCATAAGTGATGACCTAATTGATCAGGATAGATTAAGGAATAATAATTTCTTATCATATGATGAATTGGTGGACAATATGAAGAGATGGCAGATATCTGAACAAAGTTTAAACATTAATGAAGCAATCATTGAGCCATTTAATGCACGGGAATATCCGGCCGGACAATTGGTCTATACTTTATTGCGAGAATATTGTCAATAACAACAAGCACATTTAGAGATAAATTATAATTAATGCAATTAGTATTTAATTATCAGAGATAATACAAATGGTGTGTATAATAGGGAGTCATTTATTGCAACTAATATTGTAATTCTTGAAAAGTGTTTTTCACGATAAATATTTTAATAATGTTGATAACATTTTATTAAATGTATGCTAGAATTGGCAAATATATTCACATTGTTTTAATGTTTCATTTGAATTAATAAAATACTTTCAATTTAAAATTAATTTCAACAATTAAATTAAACAAACTATTGTATGTATGTAACTTATATATTCATTTGTGGGTCAAACAAGACTTAATTGGACAGGTAGTGGACACTCCTGTCCTATTTGAAGCCCTCACCACACCATATAATACCCACATTCAGTAAACCCCTCAATATATCATTCACTGCAGAGTGTTATTGTAAACCATTGAATACTTTTGTGACAGTTTGTGAGTTTTGTTAACAATGTCTGATTAATGTGTTAATGTAGTTTATATTACAAACTCTATTGTTTCATTCATTCATTTTTGTAAAAACATGTTTACTCAGTTTAATTACATTTTCATTCAATTCAACGCAAATTACAGTTGCATATCACTAAGCATCAAAACTGGACAAAACATATAATATTAATAACTGTAAGTACTACTTTACAATTTTTATGATTCAATTTTTGTTCAATAGTGTAAGGTTGTACTTATTATTTAATAAATAAAATATTTTCAGGAAATGATAAATGTTGTTGTTATTAGTTTCCGATATAAAACAAAATATTTTATTTATTTCAACGAAAAATATTGAAATCATTTATATGATAAAACAATAAATGTTATCAAACAGTATAAAAAGATTATTGCCATTAGCTAACAGATCAGGTATAAAAAATATCGTTAAATATTTTTATTATATTAAAATCAAATGTTTAAATGTCATTATTTTAACATGTACCTTATGGTTTATGTAATTAAAATATAAATTCTTTGCTGATTACAATAAATATTACAGTATTTATATAAATACTGTATAATTTAATACAACTATATTAACTTATAATATAAGTCTTATATTATTCAAAAGTCATTGAATGAGTTTTGTTTTATATCATTATTATATTGTGATAATCTGTTAACCAATAAAATATATTTGATAAAACAATGATACAGGTATATTAATTAGTGTATTTTAATTAAATAAATTTAATATACGTTTTATTTTCAAAATTCTATATATATTTTTAATGTGTTATTTAATTTATTAATACGTTTAATTATTTCTTATTTTTAATAGACATTTAAATAACATTGCGATGGAGTTTATAAATTACATGCCTGATAATGATCCTAATAAAGGATCATGGTCATTTTAATGTGTTATTTAATTTATTAATACGTTTAATTATTTCTTATTTTTAATAGACATTTAAATAACATTGCGATGGAGTTTATAAATTACATGCCTGATAATGATCCTAATAAAGGATCATGGTCAAATTGGTCAACTGTTAATAATATAGTGTTACGATTATTTTATGTGTTCAATGACTTTGAGGGCAAAAACTATATGTGTGTCACAAATAAGGATGAATTTTATTCATTTGGATCTAATAATAGCGGATGTCTTGGCTTCAGTCACGAGACGGGTGTCAGTGAACCAACACTTGTCGAAGAATTGAGTTTTAAAAATATTTGTCAAATATATCGCGGATTAAGTCATATGTTCGCCAGGAATGAGAAAAATGAGATTTTCTGCTGGGGTTACAACACGTGCGGACAGTTAGGCATCGGATCCCACGATAAATATACCATACATTCCGCGCAATTGAATACTTACTTAAGTAACAAATCCATTGTTAACATCAGTTGTGGTCTAAACCACACGTTAGGACTGACCTCAACGGGCGAAGTGTACGCCTGGGGTGACAACAGCTACGATCAGATGGGGCGGGAGAGTGGTGTCCGGTTCCATGTGAAGCCCACCAAGGTTAAATTTCCTGAAAATATTAAAATTAGCAAGATATCTTGTGGTGGCACTCATTCTGTAGCGTTAGCCACAAATAATAGTGTGTTTGTGTGGGGCGGTAGTAGTTACGAGTCAGCATGGTCGTATAAAACACCCACACTAATACTGTTCAACAAATCAATTATTACTGATATTATATCCACAGAATTTGATATCTATTTTATGTCAAACGATGGCTACATTTATTTTAGTGATGACTTTGATGTGGAAAAGCCAATGGAAATAATAAACAGCGAGCTCAAATTTGTGGACATGAATGTGGTCTATGACTGCTTTAACGAGTATCAACTGACTGCCAGAGATTTTTCCGGTTTAATCTATGAATGCGATTCAAAAGAATTTACAAAAACTGATTTCAATTCATTTGAGGAATACTACCGTACAACACATCAAATCACTGTTAATGTGATTAAAGTGAGTGGAAAAGAAAGATTATCGCCGTTAGGAGGAAAATTCACCAGGGCTTTTCAAGCTTTTGATAGTACCTCGCAGTGCAAACCACATGTCCGTAGTGTTGATTCACATAATCTAGAAGTTATGGATGAATTCAGAAAAGGATATTTGGGTGCTGTGTATAAAGCATATGATAAATTCAATGACAAAACTTATGCCATCAAAAAGATCATGTTTTGGGGTTTGTATTCATTTAATTGTATGTTTTTTGTTTGAACCAAATTTTATAGTTTATTAAATTATTGTTTGAATCAACAGATGTGACCAATGAAAATGAATTACTTAATGAACAAAAGCAATACTTAGAGTTAAAGCACCGGAATGTTATGCAATATATAGACATGTGGTCTGATGTCCCAAATGATTGCATTTGCATTCAAATGCCATTTTGTGAACAAACTCTTGAAGAAGTTATTAATGAAAAGAACAGAATATTCCCAAAGAAATCAAACAATGAATTAATGAAAACAATTGATTACTACATATCCAGTGAAATACTTAAAGAGATTGTCGAAGGACTGCATTATTTGCATGGTTTGGATCCGAAAATAATTCACACGAATCTGAATACAAGAAACTGTTTGATCGGTGACGACATGTCTGTTAAGATCAGTTCATATGGTTTACGTAAACATCGCTATGATTTCGGTATTTCCGAAGTGGTCGACAGTAAACGCATTGAACACATCGCACCTGAAGTACTCCATAACCAGTACTACGATGAGAGGTGTGATGTCTATAGTCTGGGAATTATTGCCACAAAATTATTTTCTACTAATAATGATGAGTAAGAAATCTATTTATTTTAATTTTATCAACAAGAATGATAGAAATACTAAACATGATAAAACTACTATTTATAAATATGTTACAAAATTAATGTCAAACTTTGAATGTGTTTTAGGGATCCATTGGATCAAGAATTAAGATTAAGAAATAGTATCAAAAAAATGATATTATTTCCCAAATGGGAGAGTAGACCAAAGTGTGATCAATTGATATTAGATATGCAAAAGTGGACACTGGAGTGGAAACAAATTAGTGATAAATTTTCAGATAAAGAAATAATGCAAATCCTACATGTGTTGGAAGCAAATAAATATTTATCACAGTTTTTAAGTATAAAAAGTAATCATAAAATTGAGGAAATTAGCTCAAAGTTAGAAAAATTAGAAATGAACAAGGATAGTTCAACCGATAAGTCTGACTCGGGTATTGGTTCATTAATACCAACACTATCAGGCATTTCCAGTGATGGCACAAATTCAAGTAATTTTATATTATAAAAATGTATGAGAAATTAAAAATGAATTAATTCTTATATATTAGGTAGTGATTGGAAAAATAGAGATGACATTCCCATTAAAGAGCACTATTTCGATGAAAACTTTGAGACTTTAAATGCGATTGGAAAGGGAAGTTATGGGCAAGTTTTTAAAGTAAAGTTTAATAAGGATAATGGACTTTATGCTGTTAAGAAAACTATTAAAGGTATTTTTGCGCTTTACTTATAGTAAATAAAATTTTAATATTTTTCCTAAATTTATACAGAGATTGATGACAAGAATTATGAGCGAAATATGAGAGAGTATTTGAATTTATCAAAAGTCAAAAGCGATTTTGTTGTCCACTATAAGGACTCGTGGATTGAGAGCCAAAGCCTTTACATTCAGATGGAGTTCTGTGAACACAATCTCCAAGAAATTCTTGATTCAAAAGATATTTTATTTAAAGACAGACTAAATGACCCGAAATTAGCTTTAATTGAATATTTCATTACATACCAAATAATAGAGGAAATAATCAAATGTGTCGACTTTTTGCATTCACAACAAACTCCTATTATTCACAGAGACTTGAAGCCAAAGAATATTCTTGTTGTGAATTCCGTCACTGAAAGACATAAACAATTTATTAAATTATGTGACTTCGGACTCTCCAAAGAAATACTTTATAGGGGAATGACTAACACTGGGCGCACCGGTACTAATAGATACATGGCTCCTGAAGTCGACACGAGTAGGGATTATAACACAAAAGCCGATATCTATAGTTTAGGTATCATTTTTATGGATATATTTGGAGTTAATGTATACTCGTGAGTAAAACTTCTTTATAAAAATATTAAACAAAAGTAATTAATTGAGTTTTCTCTCAAAAGTTGGACCAAAAATATAAAAGGATTTAACGATGAAATAAAGGAAAAGTACAGTAATATTAAGCTAAAGGAATGCATTGAATTGATGTTACGTCAACCGGACTTTAATAACCGGCCGGACTGTCGGCAATTGTTATCACAAATAAATGGATGGCATGTAGGCGCTGATGAGATCAATAATATTCAGACTTTTAGCTCAACATTGGATACGATTGCAGATTTTGAATACAAATTTTTCCACAATTTTCTTACAACTAAATTACAGTTAAGACTTGAGAGCATAGAAACTACAGGCGCTGTACAGACTGAACGCGCAATTGAATCAAAACCTTCATCTGTAAGGAATTATAGGGAACCGTTGGATGTGTTTAACGATTTAAGATTAGGTGATATAATTGACATGAAAGATATAGTGGACACAAATAGTCCCACCATTTGGTCCGTCTATGATGGGGACAAGTATGTGATTTATGTGATTAAATCGGATGATAAGAGCTATGAGTTAATGAGAGATGAATACAAAACTGTGACCACAAGCAAGAAGTGTCGGATCGTGGGGGCGGACGACTTCTTCGGTCGAAGTGTACATACAATTCAGGAAAGGGATGTCATTGTTTCAAATGCCGTCAAAATCTATGAGAAGTATAGAAATATCAAAATTGAATGCAAACACAACTTAAGGATGCATTTCATCACGAAATGTCTCTTTGGGTCAGAGTTTTGTGAATCATATGGTTGTGATTCCGGTAAAGAAGTGACGTTTTTTGATTAACTATTGAGAATTATATGCAAACAAATCATACATTAAATAATCTGATTGTTTAGATGTATAGATATTCATATTAAAACATTATTTGGTAATATGCAGATAAATCTTAATTTATAATAGATTTTACAAAATAATTGTTATGCAAATGTTAATCCCTGTTAAACGACATTTTATATTATAATATAACCATAATTAAAATTTTTTATAATAAATCTATTACCTTTAAGTAATTAAAAAACATATTTGAAATTTTGTTATTATTGTGTAAATACTGTATATAAAAATGAATTCATTCTTACAATTTTATATACTGTAGTACAGTTTGTTTGTCACATAATAACCCTGTATCAAATACATAAAAAAATAAACCTTTAAATAAAATAATGAAAATTAAGACAATATTATTAAATAATTCATTGTTTTTATTAATTGGTGTCATTGAATGTACTTTTGCACAATACGAGTATAACAGTGAATATGGAGAACCTGAAGAATATAGAGGTGGACCCAGGGATTGGTACGGAAACCCACGAGAAGGTTATGGTGACGGACAATATGGCGGAGGAGGTTATGGTGAGTGGGGACAACCCATACGGAATAGATATGGGGGATACCGTAGACACAGATATAGAAATAGATATGGAAACAGAGGTTTTGGCGGAAGATACCGTCCCTCTCGCGAGGAAATTTATGGCGGAGAATATGATGGCATTAAAGGTGACGGATATGGACGGGAAGAGTCGCGAGAATATAGTAGACCTCATGAAGAGAATAGACTCCCAGAAGAGCGTAGACCTCTAAAGCTTCCGAGACGTAAACCAATTATGAATTACGCGAGTCTGGACCTGGATCACCTCAAACCAGTAGATAAACAAAAAGGCAAAAAAGGTGGGGCCGATAACGGGCCTAAAGGGGACAAATTGAAAGACAATGCTATGCAAAAGGCCAAAGAGATGGGCGACAAACTGTCGTCCCGTTTGAAGGAAACAAAACTCATTCCTATAACCGATATGCAAAAGATTGCCTCCAATTCTCTGCACACCATTAAGATGCGGACCGACGAGTTGGCCCACAAAGTGAAGGGAAGTGAGGACAACACGTTCAAGTCGTTGAAAGATCCTAATAGAAAGGGTGAGGGAAATAAGTATTGGACAAACCCGTTGACTGGTGCCCAACAGGCCAGCCAAAAAGCGTATGAGAGGGCCCGGGAGGTGGGCAATAGGGTCGGTGGGAAGATAAAGGATGGCATGTCGGGTACTTATAAGTCATGGTT